AGTAGAGACAGGGTTTCACTATGTTGGCCAGGCTGGTCTCAAACTCCTGACCTCAAGTGATCCACCTGCCTCGGCCTCCCAAAGTGCTGGGATTACAGGCATGAGCCACTGCGCCTGGCCTGAATTGTGGGTTATAAAACATTATTTTTATATTACATAATTTTCAACTCATTAAAAAAATACAAAGAGATCTGGCCTGGAAACAACAACAACAACAACACAAATTCTAAAATTATTTCTTGGTAAAAATGCAAATTATTTCCAATGGATTTGCATGCTCATTGGGATTGGAACTTCCAACACCAAATTCAACACCAGGGGATACTAAAGAAATGCCTTCAGAAATTCACGATGAGCGAAGAATTCTATGTTAACTCAAATTACTAAAGACAAAGGTAAACGACCACTTGGCAGCTTGTCTCACACATTAAACCCAGCACGTCAGGCTTCATCTTGAGAAACGGGGACGGGTTGGCCGTAGACACCTTAACCATTACATGTACTTTCCCTTCTACATCTTTTTCCTTATGCTTTATTTAATATAATTCAGGACATAGGCACGGGCAAAGATTTCATGGCAAAATCACCAAAAGCAATTGCAACGAAAACTAAAATTGACAAATGGGATCAAATTAAACTAAAGAGCTTCTGCATAGCAAGAGAAACCCTTATCAGAGCAAGCAGACAAGCTACAGAATGGGAGACACTTTTTGCAATCTGTCCATCTAACAAAGGTCTAACATCCAGAATCTACAAGGAACTTAAACACATTTACAAGAATGAAACAAACTCATTAATAAATGGGCAAAGGACATGAACAAACACTTCTCAAAAGAAGACATTTATGCAGCCAATAAACATGAAAAAAACTCCACATCACTGATCATTAGAGAAATGCAAGTCAAAACCAACCACAATGGGATACCATCTCACACCAGTTGGAATGGCGATTATGAAAAAGTCAAGGAGAAACAGATGGTGGTGAGGTTGCAGAGAAATAGAAACACTTTTACACTGTTGGTGGGAATGTAATTAGTTCAACCAGTGTGGAAGATGGTGTGGCGATTCCTCAAAGATCTGGAACCAGAAATACCATTTGGCCCAGCAGTCCCTGGGTATGTACCCAAAGGAATGTAAATGATTCTATTACAAAGACACATGTACCCGTATGTTTATTGGAGCACTATTCATAGTAGCAAAGACATGGAATCAACCCAAATGCCCATCAACGATAGACTGGATAAAGAAAACGTGGCACATATACACCATGGAATACTATGCAGCCATAAAAAGGAACAAAATCATGTCCTTGTCAGGGACATGGATGGAGCTGGAAGCCATTATCCTTAGCAAACTAACGCAGGAACAAAAAACCAGACACTGCATGTTCTCACTTATAAGTGGGAGCTGAACAATGAGATCACATGGACACAGGGAGGGGGACAACACACACTGGGACCTGTTGGAGGAGCGGGGGTTGGGAAAGGGAGAGGATTAGGAAAAATCGCTGATGCATGCTGGGCTTAATACCTAGGTGATGGGTTGGTAGGTGCAGGAAACCACCATGGCACACGTTTACCTGTGTAAAAAACCTGCAGACCCTGCACATATACCCCAGAACTTAGAATAAATTTTAAAAAAATTTCACAAATCTTGATAGAGAGTGAAAGGGAAAGGAAAGTATTTCCAGAGCCACAATTAAAAATTTTTTTCACTGTTTCCACACTCAGTGAAAGCAATTCTAAATGATGAAACTTAGTTGGAAGATCACAGAATCCAAAATATGTAATGTGATACCCTCAAGGGAGCAAAAATGGGAAAAACCACACACTAAAACACACACTTACACACACGTGCACATGCACCCTCAGAGACACACACGTAGGTGAGTACTCAGACTGGGAAAACCACATACCGAAACACACACACACGCGTGAACATGCACCCTCACAGATACATACATGGGTGAGTACTCAGAGTTCAGCTAATGTGTAATTAGAGCCCGTTTTCTCCACAGGGAGAGCAGAAATGAATCCTTATTCAAAAATACAGATTGTTTGTGAAACTTGGCAATTGTGAATAGTGCTGAACTTAGGAGTGTGGACATCTCTTCTGTGTGTCAATATCATTTCCTCTGGGCTTGCTGGATTACACGGTGGTTGCACGTTTAGTTTTTTGAGAAGCTTCCATACTGTTTTCTAAAATGGCTGTATTAATTTACACATCCACCAATGGTGTGTAAGGATTTTCTTTTCTCCCCATGCTCACCAATCTAATCTACCATTTTGATGATAGGCAATCTAACAGCTGTGGAGTGATATTTCACTGCAAAATTTCACTTTTTACACATGCATGTGTATACATATGTGTATATATATACATACACATGCATATATGTACATACGCATCTGCACATATGTGCATATGTACGTATGGATGTATCCATATGAACACATACTTTTTCATATATAAATATACATATATGCATATAAACTTCAATAAGCTATAACCTCACGTCTGTTAGGATAGTTACTATGAAAAAGAATAGGCCGGGCGCGGTGTCTCACGCCTGTAATCTCAGCACTTTGGGAGGCTGAGACGGGTGGATCATCTGAGGTCTGGAGTTCAAGACCAGCCTAACCAACAAGGTGAAACTCTGTCTCTACTAAAAATACAAAAAAATTAGCCGGACGTAGTGGCAGGCGTCTGTAGTCGCAGCTACTCGGGAGGCTGAGACAGGAGAATTGCTTGAACCCGGGAGGCAGAGGTTGCAGTGAGCCGAGGCGGAGCTTGCAGTGAGCCGAGATCATGCCACTGCACTCTAGCCTGGGCCACGGAGCATGGGTCCATCTAAAAAAAAAAAAAAAGGTAGAGTAACAAGTGTTGGTGAGAAAGTGGAAAAATGGAACCCTGCGCTCTGCTAGTGGTAATGTAAATGAGTACAATGACCGCAAAAATACTATAGATGTTTTTCGGAAGTTAACGATCAGAACTGCCCTATGCTGTAACAATTTTAGTGCCGGGTGCGTATCTAAAGGAAACGACATCAGTACGTTGAAGAGATGCCCGCCCTCCCATATTCATGACAGCTTTAGTCACCATAACCAAGACATGGAACCCGCCCAAGTGTCCATTAGCAGGCGAGTGGATACAGAAAAGGAAATGCTCAGTGTATCTACAGCGAAAAACTACTCAGCCTTCTAGAAGAAGGAAATCGTTTCATTTGTGACATGGATGAGCCTAGAGGACATCACACTACGTGGAGTAAAGGAGGCACAGGAAGACCCCTGCTGCCTGATCTCACTTATGTGTGGATTGCCCCAGTTCAGCTCATGGAAGTAGAGTTGAAGGTAGTTCCTGGGAGCTGAGGGGGCGGGAGTGGAATCAGAGAGCTGCATGGAAGGATACCGCGTTTTAGTTAGACAGGAGGAGTGAGTTTAGCAGATCTGTTGTACAATATGGTGACTACAGTTGCTCACAATGGATTGTATACGCAAACACTGGTAAGAAAGTAGATTTTAGGGCTGAGCGCAGTGGCTCACACCTATAATCCTAGCACTCTGGGAGGCCAAGGCGAGTGAATCACGAGGTCAGGAGTTCAAGACCAGCCTGACCAACATGGACAAACCCCGTCTCTACTAAATATACAAAATTAGCTGGGTGTGATGGTGCATGCCTGTAATTCCAGCTACTCGGGAGGCTGGGGCAGGAGAATCGCTTGAACCTGGGAGGTGGAGGTTGCAGTGAGCTGAGATTGTGCCACTGCACTCCAGCCTGGGCAACAAGAGTGAAAATTTGTCTCAAAAAAAAAAAAAAAAAAAAAGTAGATTTTAAATGTTCTCTTAACAAAAAGATAACTACGTGATATTACAGATATATTAATTAGCTTGACCTACTGATTTCACAGGGTATTCATATATACTAAAATATCATGTTGTACACCCTAAATGTGTATGACTTTTAAATTGCCAAATAAAATAAAGTAAAACATTAAAACAAAATAAAAAATATTATTTTGAAACAAAAAAACTGTAGAGTTTAAAACGTGCCTTTTATAGAATGGAAAATTCCATTTTATATGTGATGACTTTTTTTTTTTTTTTTAATTTTTTGAGGCAGAGTCTGGCTCTGTGGACGAGGCTGGAGTGCAGGAGTGGGATCTGAGCTCACTGCAAACTCCACCTCCTGGGATCAAATGATTCTCCTGCCTCTGCCTCCCCAGTAGCTGGGATTGCAGGGTGCGCCACCATGTCTGGCTAATTTTTGGATTTTTAGTAAGAGATAGGGTTTTACCATGTTGGCCAGGCTGGTCTTGAACTCCCGGCCTCGAGTAATCTGCCGCTCTGCCTCCCTATGTGTTGAGATGTCAGGCGTGAGCCACCGCACCCAGGCACATTGCCTCTTTTTCTATTCTCAAGAAACATTTGTGACACTCTGGGTGTGTTCGTGTTTCATTAGTGTGTCAGTATTTGTAAAAAATCACCAATGAAGCTTCGTGAACTGGAGTTTATACCATGGGAACATTTTTATTAGTCAGTATATTTCACACACATACACACACACACACACACACACACACATCTAAAATGAGTCAGATTCTTTGATTACTCTTACGTTCATTAAGTAAACTCCAGTTTGGAATATTTCATCTATTTAATCTGCATTTTCTAGTATATTGGCATAGGTTTGCCGCCTGTTCTGTTGTTAGTTTTTGAAAATGTGTGTAGGGTCTGCCGGGCTGTCTGCTTCTTCACGCCCACATGGAAATGCGTGCCTGCCCTTTCTTTTTCTTGCTCAATGGAGTTAGGATTTATGAGTGTAATTAATATTTTCAAGAATCAGCTTCACTGGCTTTGTGGAATTTTCACGTTTTGGTGTTTCCTCATGAGCAACTCTGCTTTTTCTTATTATTCCCTTTCTCACACCTTCATTTGGGATAATTTGTTATTCTTTTTCTAAATTCCTGACACGAAAGCCAACGTCGTTCATTTCCTAGTGTGTTTTTTTTTTTTTTTCTTTTCTACTTTTTTCATTTGTGGTTTGTAGTTTTTCCATTTCATTGTGTGGTGTGTAATATTTATATTGTGATTCACGTTCAAGCACATTCTTACTTCTGATTTTAGTTTTCTCAGTTAACTCATTGATTATTGAGAAGTCTGCTGCTTTAATTAAAAAATGTAGGGATATTAGTTATTTAGACTGCAGAATCAAGCGATTCCCAAAGTTCCCAGAGGTCTAGGCTGACAGGGGTTCATTGGTGTCCACTGGGGGCAGCTCCCGTGCCTTCAGCAGTCCGAGTCTCCTTCTGCTGAGTGTGGGGTCTGGGTCCCCTCCGGGCTAGTGGATGGCCAGGGTGGCGTAGACGCTGGGCTCAGCTGGAGGTTCCCTTTGCTGGGTTGGAGGAGGCTCAGTTGCCTCCCGTCTCAGGGTCAAGCTCTGCAGCTGGGCGTAGGTCACATCCTGGGGGTCTTCAGATGCAGCAGCCTGCAGTGGGGAAGAGTGAGAGAGAAGGAACATGGTGGGGGTAGGGGAGGCCTGGGGGCCTGGAGAGGAAAGGACTCACCTCAGTGTCCATCTGCCTGTCCTCTTCCACCTGTGCATCCTTTGTGTCCAGGAATTCCTCGGACAGTGGGGAGAGAGGAGAGGTCATTTCTCTCCTAGGTCTGGAGTGTTTCACCTGGGCATACGTCACTGCCTGGGGGTCTTCATCGTGTGGGCTCTGCTGGAGAAAGACACTGGTGGGGGGTGTCCTTGAGTCCCCCTGACCCCCTGGAGTCAATTTTCCCCACTGTTCCCAGGGTGATCCGATTATATCCCTTTCCTGATGGAATCTCAGGGATCCCTAAGGCCGTGGAGGGTCTGGCCGCTCCCTCCCTGTGGTTCTGGCCTCTCCTCCTCACTCTGACCTTGCCCATTTGGCTGAAGCCTCACGCCCACCTTCCTGCAAAGCTGCTGCTGCCTCAGGACCTTTGCAGCTGTTGCCTCTCTGCTGGGAGCTCGTCCATTAAGAGATCCTGTGGCCCCCTCCGTCAGGCCTTCTCAGAGGACAGCTGAGCAGGCAGCCCTCCCCTTACATTCAGACTGGCCCCACTGCCCACACTCTGCCCCTTTCCCTGGTTTATGTTTCTTACAGCACGTTGCACTCCTGCTCATGGTGCATTTGGTGCATTTTTGTCTCCCACCACGGGTAAGCTCAGGAGGGGTGGGGTGGCTCTGCTCACTGCTATGTCTGCGGCTCCCATGGGGAGCCGATCCACAGTGAGCTCCTGGGAACACTCGCTGGATGAATGAATGAAGGGAGCCCAGGGGGCGGGGTGGTTCATCTATTCCTCATCCTCCTGAGGCCTGGGGAGCGCTCTCACCACCAGACGGCCAAACAGAGGAGGAGGAGCAGGAAGGGGACCGGGAGGAGGCCTCCCGAGGTCCCAGGACAGCAGGAGAGAGTGAGGTCACAGCGGGCGGGAGGCAGCGTGCTGGACAAGGAGGGAGTCCACCCTGACGATGCTGAGAACCGGGGAAGGAGGACAGAGAAGTCCTGCTGGATTAGATCTGGCACCAGGAGGCCTTTGGTGCCGGGACAGGGCAGGGTCTCACCTGACTGTCCAGCTCCACCCTGTCCTCAGGCTGTGGCTCCTTCACGGCAGCATCTGCGAGGACACAGCAGGAGTTTGTCTCTGGGAAGGTTCTGAGACCTCTGAATTTACTGCCGGCCCTGCCCAGCTCCAGACGGGGCCACTTGCGATGCAGGGAGGGGCTGTGATGTCCCGAGGTCCCACAGTGTGGGAGTGAGATCATCTCACCTGAGCCCCAGACCCTTTCCAGCCTGCCCTTTCCCATTTGCTACGAAACTTTGGGGCCCCCATCTCTCCTCCTGGCTGGTCGCCTCCCCATCTCCTCCTGGCTGGTCGCCTCCCCAAAATACTCCTCCTGGCTGGTCGCCTCTTCCTGTCACTCACAGAGGTTTTCTTCCTGGGTGTAGGCAGCTGGGCTGGACCTGGGGGAGGAACGGGAGCTTTAGGGGCAGTGTAGGGGCCCGGTGGGAGTCTGGGGTCTTTGGGCAGAATTACCTCCTCTGAAGGCCTCTGTCTCTGGGCTCTGGCTCCACAGCCCCTGCAGGATATTGGAAATCAGCCTTTCTCTGGGCTGGGGGAAGAAGGACAGAGCCTCAGCCCTCTGGGAATATCCCAGGCCCCTGCCCCCACACACAGCTCGAAGGTAAGGAAGGAAACCTGGCTACTCCTGCCTCCACATGCCATGTTCCAAATGCCCCATGAGATGGACAGAGCCTGAAGGACACTTTACATTTGTAGACGGGACTGACATTAAGTGCTTTTTCCATTTGCCTGGTGAGAAATGCTGGAACAGTTCCTCAGAGCTGCATTTGGCCAGTGGTTTGGATTCTTTGGCTGGTGCCCTGAGGCCACCTCGGTCGGCCCATGGGGTGCCCCCTTCCCTACTCACCCGATGTCCAGCGTTTGCCCTGACGTCCATATCGGAGGATGAGGAGGAGGAGGAGGAGGAGGAAGAGCAGCAGCAGGACAGAGGCCACTGAGACCCCAGTCACAACTCCCAGGTGCCTTCCCAGACCTTGAGCATGATGACATCAGAAATGGGGGTGATGTCATGGACATGAGCTCCTACTGTGTGCTGGACCCTGGACCTTCTGTTCACCACCTCAACCCCACAACAGTTGTACAGCACGGAATGGAAACACAACCCACCACATACAGATGGAAAACTGAGGCTCCAGAGAAGGAATCCTTGCCCAGGACCCCAGCCAGAAGCGGCAGAGCTGGGAAGAGAATCAGAGTCTGAACTGCAGTCATGTATTCCCTGCACCAGGCTGAGCCCCGGAGATGCAGGGGAAAGAGCCCTGGCTCCGTCCTGAACCACGGCGCTGCTCCCTCCCTGCCCCAGTGCGTCCACCACTGCAGGTGGGACAGGACAGGCCTCTGCGGGAATCGGGTCTGGGAGGCTTCCTGGGAGGCCTCCTCTCCCCAGGAAGGTCCACAGCTGGGAGTCAAGAGCTGAAAAACGTTCCCACCCGCAGGCTTCTTTCCTTTACACCTGGAGAAACTGAGGCCCAGGCAAGTGAGAGGGCCTGTCCACATCACCACCTCCAGAGGAGCCTGAACCTAGGACAAGCCACTCTTTGCCTCCCCAGGACCCGCCCACCTTCCTCTCGACCCCCACTCTCACCACTCCTGGGAGTCCAGGACCCCGTGGGGGTGAGGGCTGGTCCTCAGAACCTGGGTCCCGGGATGGGAGGTGAGCACAGGGCAGCCCCGTCCCCCATATCAGCCCAGCTGCTCCTCCTCCAGGCTGGGCCCCAACACCTCCCTCTGTCTTGCCCTGAGCCCCTCCTGGCTCAGCCTCAGAGCCCTGGGAGCCTGTGGCCCTCCTCTGGCTCTGCCCAGCTCCCGGGGTGGAAGCCCATGCCTGAGTCCTTGAGGAAGGAGTTTCTCTGGGAGACTCAGAGGCTGCCCGGGAGGCTGTGCTCCCTCTGGCCCAGAGGCCTCAGGGGACTCACCAGGTGTGGGGGGTGGAGCCGGTGGGTGGAGACTGGGACTCCCGGAGGTCTGGGTAAAAGAGAGGAGGCTGAGGAGCAGAACCCTGAAGAATCCCCCTCCAAACCAAATTTCTCTACATGGGGGCTGTGGTCTCCCCAGGCCCCTCCCTCCACCCACCTCTCCTCTTTATGTTGCTGTTGATGACACTAAGGGTAGGCATAGCTGGGAGGGCCCTGTTGTCCTCCTTCCCTCTGAGGTAGTGTCCCTCTGGCTGAGCCCCGCTCAGATCCCTGCTCACTCCATCCCAGCCCAGAGCTCTCCTGGAGCAGGGCCAGAGCTGAGTCTTTGAGCTCAGAGGGGACAGGGTCAAAACCCTCACCTGAGACCACGAGCTCCAGGGGTCACTGGGGGAGGCGAGACAGCAGGTAGGGAGGTTGGAGCTGTGTGAGCCATAGCACCTGTAGGTCCCTTGTGGGCTGGCGTCACAGGACCCATGGGGAATTCAGCCTGGTACTTAGGCGCTCGGTGCTTTGATCTCCAGACATGGCCCGAGGATGGGCTGCCCCCCTCCTTGGTCAGAAGGAAAGTGTGTAACTCCCACCATGACTGGCCTGGCAGGTCACGTTCTCTCCTAGAGGCCACCACATGGGGCCCAGCAGCACCGAGAGGGAGACCGTGACGTAGAACTGTCCTGGAGAGAAGAAGGATGGATGAGGGGCTCCCACCTTGTTCTGAGCTGATACCTCCCAGGCCTCTCTCTACTGGAACCCTCAGTCTCTGTCTCTGTTTTCTCTGAGTCTCCCCCTCCCCGCCCATCCCCTGTCTCTGTCTGTCTCTCCCTTCCTTGGTGCCCCCATCCCTCATCCCGGGCATCACCACCTGGAAGCTCCCCTGCTTGGGGAGCCTGTGCGAAACCTGGGTCCTGACTGAACCCGCTGGGCTCATCACTGAGATCAGGATGTCAGGGGGTCACTGGGACGACCACTCGGAGAGGTTGTGTGCACCGTAGCATCTGTACTGGCCCCCATGGGAGCGGCTCACAAGGCCCAGGGAAGTTGGCCACCAGGAGAGCCCAGCCTGGGGCTGCCGGCCAGCGCGCTGGAGGAAGTCACGTTCTCCCTCCTTGTACAGAACGAATCTGTTGTAGCCGGCATCAGAGCCACACTGGAGGGTCAGCTTCTCCCCGGGGGGCACGACAGGACCGGCTGCACTGAGAGTGGCAGCCTAGCAAAGCATACCTGGGAAAGGTAGTCACAGGTTTCCAGGGCGACCCTCAGGCTTCCCCACAAACCCTCCCTCTCCCCTGGGCCTCACCACTGCTGATCTTCCTGTGTCTCTGGCCCCAGGAGCCCTGAGCCCTCTCGTCCCAACATCATCCCACCTGGAGCTGCCCTGAGACGCGGCTCCTCCCCACCTGCCCGGAGACTCAGGGAACTCCAGGCAACGCTGTGAATTTCTCACCTGGGACCAGGAGCTCCAGGAGATCACTGGGTAAAGACCACATATAGGGAGAGCGTGAGTCATAACCCTTAGCACCGATGCAGCCACCTGCGACTCGAGCTCACGGGGCCACGGAGAGAGAACGGCCCAGGACCAGCCATGGCGTAGAGTGGGAGTTGAGACGTTGCTGGGTGCTCATCTTCTCCTTCCTTACACAGAATGAAGCTGTCAAATGCCACCTGTGAGACACACTGGAGGGACACGTTCCCTCCTGAGGCCACCACAGGGCTGGGCAGGGCTGAGAGGTGGAGTTTTCTGTAGGCTCCTGGGAGAGAAGGAGGCACCGTGTTAGAGAAGTAGGACTCACCTCCCACATCATCCCCAGAGGCTGGGCTGTGAGGAGACGCCCTGAGAGCCGACCCCCTTCCTGAGAGACAGAGCCTGGGGCTGGGACCCTGAGTGTCCTCTCACCTGTCACCATCAGATCGGGGTCGCTGGGCTCTGACCTGCCTTCAATGTAGCTACCATAGTTGCAGCGATACCGCCCTGCGTGTTCCCAGGTGATGGATGCAGTGGAAATAGCCCTTCTTGACAAGCTCTTGTGGTATCCGTCTAACCCAGGATGCTGGGTTTTTTTCCCTATATAGACGGTACTCCTGAACCTGAAGGCTCCCTGACACCTGAGGTCACGGGACTCCTCGCTGATCACAGACCTGGCTCAGCCCAGAGTGGGCTTGGGAAGGGTCCCTGGAAGAGAAATCAAGGAGATCGGATTCTAGAGGAGTCATTTCCCACCCAGCAGATCTCCAGCTCTTGGCTGCAGGACCCTCAGACGCCCCCATCAGTCAGCCCAGATCTGCTATTCCCTGTCCCCATGCACGGGAGGTGGCCCCTTGTCCCCCAGTGAGGGAGGGAGGAACTGGAACAGCAGGGGGACAGACTCACCTGCCTGCACGTGGGTCCTGGGGCTTTGAACTCAGCCCTGGAAGAGTTCCCTGTGAGATTTGCCCCTGAAGCCTGAGCAGGTCCTCCCCTCCCTGGGATCTTTGTGAACCCCTGGGGTCTCCTTATGCACCAGAGTTTGGCTGTGGGGTGAGGCCCCTCCTAGGTTAGAATCTCCCCTCCTCTTCCAAATCTCACCGAGACAGACCAGGACCGTGAGGATGGGGTCATAGCGTCTCCTCCTGCCCTGCTCTGCAGATGGACAAGGCCCTCGGTGCTGGCAGGACAGAGACACACAGAGAAATAGCCTCCCCTCCTTCCCACCTGTCTTGGTTACTTGGAGGCTGAGTCCTTCTCCTGGGGTGTTTGTCATCTGCAGCCACACAGAGCAGAACTGACCTCCCAGAATCTGACTCTCATTCTTTTAGGGCTGAGGTTGGGGCAGGCACCGGGCCCTCTGCTGACATTTCAGACTGTAATGGTCTTTCCACATTCCCCCAGCCACCTGTCTGTCTGGTTCCTCCTCATCTCACTGAGAGCCGGGATGTAGCGGCAAATAGAACTGGTGCTTCCTGTGTCTGCCCTTCCAGATGAGGAGTAGCGGGCTTCCCCTTCACAGTCTCCCCCTGAGTCTCCCTCCCTCTATTTGGCCGTCCGTCAGCTGCAGCGTTGTGTGGTCCTTGCCATGGCGGTGGTCTCCCGGCCTGGAGGATGCTTCAGGAGGACACGGGTCCATGCAGGCAGACTCAGACCAGCAGAGACGCATCTCACTTTGCTGTGCCGTCCAGGCTGAGCTCGTGGCAGTGAGACAGAGAAATGCAGGGAAATAGGGGAAAGAAAAATTGACTTCTTTCTTACTGAACTGTGGTTGTCTTTCATGATTCCCTCTCCTTCCCCTTTTTTAATTTTTTTTTTTTTAGCTGCAGCGTCACCTCCCCAGGAACAAACCTCTGAGTCTTTCCTGCCTCCTCAGTGCCCCTTGCGTCCTTGGCCGTCCTCTGCCTCAATTCCTAGTCAACATTTTGGGAACAATGACTTACGTTTGCGCTTTGATTTGAGGAGCTGGGGAGGGAAGTTGATACTTATTTGATGACTGGTTGTCATCACTGCCCCTGTCTTGACCTTGGTTTGTAGTGTCCATCTCTGAGCCTCCTTCTTCCTTTGACTGTTGTCATGGAATCCCACTCATCACCGTGGTTGTGGGGTCAGTGGTGCCTGGGACATTGGGAGGGCTCATTTTGTCTGCCTGATTTCCAGACCAGGGTAAGACCTGAGGTGTTTGGGACATGAGAGGATCTTGGTGTTGGACTCCACAGTCTGTGAAGGTGATTGATGTCTCCACTTAAGATGTCACATCTGACCCTAATGGAGAAATGTACATCAGGCATTTCTGAAATACACAGAGCATCAATGTCGCCCAGGCAGAAAAAGAAGACATGTGGAAGCCCCGAGTGTAGAAGGATCCACAAGAAAGAGCAGAGGCCAGGTGAGATGCCACAGGGTCCCAGGACCATCAAGGAGCTCGTGCAGGTGGAGGATTTCCCACTGGTGGAGCTGGGAGAGGAGCCTTGGGATCTGCAATGACACAGGGGGCTCAGGGATCCCAGACCAAGGTGGGAGGCTGCGTCTTCCAGCCACACCTGAGGCTCGAGTGGACCCCAAGCAGCCAGAGGAGTTCCTCAAAGGAGTGCCCCAAACCGTCAGTGATAGAGCTGCTGGGATTCCAAGAAAGCACTAAACACCAGGTGTTCACAGAGCATTTATTAAGGGAGCTTCCACTTAGAGTGAGCATTCTTGTCTCCTTTACCCCAGTGTCTCCTTGTGGATCTCAAGGATGTGCTTCCACATAGCAGCATGTTCTTCAGATGGACAAGGAGACACTGGGTGTCATTCTCTAAGCTTTAGCCTAAAATAAAAATAAAAACAAAATAAGCCCTAGAAGAATATGATTTCTCAGTACAGTTGTTTCTTGGGATACACAGGCAACTCGTTTCAGTACCCCCTACATGTAACAAAACTTCCTGGTACTCCAGCCCTGATATTGTCTCTGCTGGACCTGCATATAGGAAAAGCCCTGCTGTTCATATCGCAAGTCTTACTTCTCACAAATGCAATAGTTTTGATCTCCGTTGGTTTGAAAAAGTGTGCATTAGAGACCCAGAATTCAGTTGCATTGCTCCAGGGTTGCCTGGATTTGAGTGTATTGGGAGTGAGAAACAAAGTTATAATCTGGAGCGCATGGCATGGCAAGACACAGTGCATGCGGGGAGGGAAGTGTGATGTTGGATATGTGTGGTTTTCACCTGCGGTTCACAGTTCCTGCTCACCGGCTGCTTGTTACAGTCTTTCACGTGAGAATGTTTGGCTGTATGGTGAGGCCTAGGGGGGCCTCTCTGACCTCCTCCTGCTGTGCTTCTCCTGCCCAAGGCGACTCGAATGTTCCCTGCCTTTCTGATGGTGGCTCATAAGACCCTCCCAGAAGATGGTCTCACCCTGTTCCTTGTGGGAGGAAATGCTGACATCATGAAGCTTCCATAAAAGCAAGAACACTGCGTTTCATGAGTTTCTGGATGGCTGAGCACGTGGAAGCTCCTGGAGGTGGCGTAGCCCAGGAGACATAAACCCAGCGCCCCTTCCCCCATGCCTCCTGCTATGTGTCTCTTCATCTGTGTCCTCTGCAGTGTGCT